GCTGATGATGCTGATGATGATTCTGATGATGACGATGATGCTGGTGGTGGTGACGATGATTGTGATGCTGATGATGACGATGATGATGTTGATTATTATTAGTAGGATGAAGCTACGACGATACACGAGCTTTACGTGACGGGATGGCTCGCTGCACTGGCCAAAGGATTATCTCCACGATGTTGTTGCGCTGTCCACGGCTTCTTAGGAACCCCCCTGGTCTGCGCTAGAACTTGAGCGCGCGCAAGCGCGCGATGATTCTAGAGTGAATATGCATATATGTGTATATATATACATATATATATAAGTATATGTGTATCTAATTGTATGCACACACATACAAATATATGCATGTATATGCGTGTAGTTACATTTTTAGCTGCACATGCTTATATATGTATATAAGTATATCGGTGTATATTCCTGAGTTCAGCAGCAGCGGCACAGCTTTGAGCCTTGGGGCATTCCAGTTCTTGCCAGAGGCACGGTGGCGGATACGTGTATATATAATAGACATGTATGTACATACATACATACAGAGAGAGAGAGAGAGAGCCAGAGAGAGACAGAGAGAGAGAGAGAGAGACACATATATATATATATGTATGCATATATATATATATATATAGAAGCATCTGTAGACACATCTATGTATGCGAGGGCAACACTCGGGTGCCCCCAAACGGTGTGGTCATCACACCGTGTGGTGAGTCAGCGGGGATTTGGGGTCACCGCACGGTTTCGGGACTCGGGGTCGTTCTCCGAGGATGTCTCGGGCGGCCTCGGCCTCTAGTGTCCCAAGACCGCGCGGTGATGGACCGTGCTGTGAGGTCGTTTGGAATTCCGAGGTCACCGCGCGGTCTGTCACCATATGTTTGCCGCGATCTCCAAAGCACACGCCGAGAGTAAGAGAGAGAGAGAGAGAGAACGAGAGAGAGAGAGATATAGATAATGAGGGAGACATACATACAGAGAGAGAGAGAGAGTAAAAGAGAGAGAGAGAGAGAGCGACAGAGGCACACAGATGAGGGGGTCGGACGGGAGACATTGTGAACTCAGAGGACGAGATATACCCACATGTATACACATGTATATATATATATATATATATAGCGAGGGAGAGAGTGGGCGGCAGCGACCTTGAGTCAATTTAGCATTGCAGACGTCAATTTAGTGACAGCTGGAAGGGTCTGCAGGGGAGGACATGAAGAAGCTGAACTTGACGCCGAATGTCCAGGATGCTCCAGCTAGTCTCTCTTGAGCTTGTGTGTTGTGCGAACAGGTGTACCTTCCAGAGATCGCAGCGCCACGATACGCACTCCCCCCGTGTCCACCTTATGGGAGACTCTGGGGCGAGCTCATTGGGAAGTGCATCCACGGACGAGCCCCCCACCTCCCAGTCCTGAATCATGCCTCGAATCGGTTATCTTCGAATGCTTTCGGTGTTTCATTGCTTGAGAGGGTGCATGGAAGCGTGTTCGAGGACTGATTGCGGTGTGAGGGTTGGTCCGCGTTGGAGCGAAATGTAGTGGCACTTCGAAAGACGTGCCAGCATCCTCCCTTGATCTTCTCTCGCAGGCTTCCCTGCAGAAGGGCTCCGCCCACGGCTATCACCAGAGCACCCGCCGCGAATGTATACCTCTCAGGAGGGAAAAACACACAGACACAATTAATCGTCGATTCCCCAGAATATATGGGAACATATGGGAAGTGGGGGGGAAGGCAATAACCCAGAACATATGGGGAAATATAGGGAATCCTGTTATTTGTGTGTTCCAGGGCCCCTTCACACCTCCCTCGCCCCTCCCTCGCCCTGGAAGGAGGAGGGGAAGAGGAGGGCAGAGGGGTGAGAGGAGGAATCGGCGTGGTGGTGGTGTGTACTCTTCGGGCCCCCACAGAAGGCGGCGGGACTTCTCAGAGGTCGCGAGGGCTTCGAGAAGCCCCGCCGCCTCCGAGGGAAGCCCCTCGCGGCTTCCGAGAAGCCGCTGGCGGCTCTGGAGGAGGCCTGCCGCCTCTCGCGTCCCCCCCCCGGGGCGGGCCTAGGATTGTGGAGGACGATCAATGGAGAGGAAGCATGTTGCCAGATAGTTTCCAGATGTCCAAAACATGTGTTAAACATGTTTTAACCATGTCGCACACATGCTTTTAAACATGTTACGCACATCTTTAAATTCAATGATAGGACTGTAAGGATGTCCACTGCCGTTGCATCCACACCGCTAGGACGAGGAGACATCCGTCCCAGAGTGCTCCAGAACGCTCTGCGCCCGAAACATCCTCCTGAGCCGCCGGATCTCGGAGGTTCCCGATTTGTCCTCACCCGATGCTATCCTCGTCCTGGCTTCGTCTATTGCCTCTCCGCCGATCCGCCCCCGGCCGCTGCGAGAGATCCCCGACCGCGCGCGAGCTCAAGGCCCGGCGAGGGCGACGCCGAAGGCGTGCGCTCCCCAGTTGAGCTGGCAGGTGGGGCCAGCGGTCCCCGTCCTCCTGCTGCTGCTGCTCCTGCTCCTAGTCCGCCTCCTCCTGCTGCTCCTCCTCCTCCTCCTCCTCCTCCTCCTCCTCCTCCTCCTCCCTCTTTCTCTCCTTAACGCTTCGCGTTTGTTCCGCTTCCGATCCCGATCCCTCCCTCCCTCCTGAATGGACGGCCTCCTTCCCTCCTCTCCCTCCCTTCCTCTTCTCCTCCCTCCCTTCCTCCGCCCCCTCGGCCCCCTCCTCCACCTCCCCCCCTCCAAGTGCGGAGGAGGGAGGACGTGCGAGGTGCGCCATGCCGTGCCGCGCGTGCTCGTCTTGCTGTGGCTACCTCAACTCGGGCATGTCCCTCTATAGGAGGAATCTCCAAACGTAGAAGCAATACTCAGGGGGCGATGGTTCGGTCTGTTTTTGTTTTGCCATGTTTTTGTTTTTGCTGCCTGTAGGGGGACATGCCCGATGTAAGGCTAATGTGTTGCTCAGTGTAATTCCACCGCATCAGCGTGGCTCACGGGCATCTCGCCAGCCTGCGCTGCTCTTGCGCCCCCTCTGCAGGGCGGCGCCGCGAGCACGGAGTCGGGCTGCCCCCGCTTCTGCCGGGCCGCAGGCCTCGGCTTGGCTGACCCCACGAGTGGCGAGCACGTCCACGTCCGCGCCCTCGCGGCCCAGATAGGGGGCCACATGCGAACCCTATTCCCTACCCCCCCACGATTTCCGAGGGGGAGGGTGGGGCTCACTCTGCTCGGGAGCTCCCGAACGAAGTGAACCCCGCCCTCCCCCTCAGAAAGCGTGGATGGGGTAGGGGCAGGGTTCGCGTCTGGCCCCCTAGCAGACTCGCGCTCCCGCGCGCACGTGGTCGCAGGGGAGAGGTCCGCGCGGTGCCTGCGCGAGAGGAGGCGCCCAGCATCCGCGGGCCCTCGGCCCGCGGCCCGGGCCGCGAGGCCGCGGGTACCAGCTTAAGCCGGGCCCGTCCCTCTACAGGAGGAATATTCCCAAATAGGAGGAATATTCAAACACAGTTTAAACAAATGGCCTGGGGACTATTTTTCGAGTATTTCCCAACCCTCCTCGGTTGGGTATTCGTTTTGAATTGAGCACTGTGGTCGCGTCCCTCCTCCTCCTCCTCCTCCTCCTCCTCCTCCTCCTCCTCCTCCTCCCCTTCCTCCTCCTCCTCCTCCTCCTCCTCCTCCTCCTCCTCCTCCTCCCGCCTCCTGCCTCGTCCTGCCCTCTCTTCGCCGACGATGGGGGCTGCGATCTGCGAAATTGTCCCCACGTTCGAGGGCTGCTGGTGGGTCCAGCGGAGTGAGGCACCGCGCAGATCTGAGCGGGACCTCGCCGTCCCTCGATCCGTCCCTGGGGGGCTGCGATCTGCGAAGCTGTCGCCACTTTCGAGGGCTGCTGGTGGGTCCTGCGGAGTGAGGCACCGCGCAGATCTGAGCGGGACCTCGCCGTGCCTGGGGGGCTGCGATCTGCGAAATTGTCCCCACGTTCGAGGGCTGCTGGTGGGTCCTGCGGAGTGAGGCACCGCGCAGATCTGAGCGGGACCTCGCCGTGCCTGGGGGGCTGCGATCTGCGAAACTGTCGCCACTTTCGAGGGCTGCTGGTGGGTCCTGCGGAGTGAGGCACCGCGCAGATCTGAGCGGGACCTCGCCGTCCTTGGGGGGCTGCGATCTGCGAAACCGTCGCAACGTTCGAGGGCTGCTTGGGGGGCCAGCATAACGATCTGCGGAACTGTAGCCACTTTCGAAGGCTGCTGGCGTGTCCAGCGGAGTGAGGCACTGCGCAGATCTGAGCGGGACCTCGCCGTCCCTGGGGGGCTGCGTTCTGGGAAACTGTCGCCACTTTCGAGGGCTGCTGGTGGGTCCAGCTGAGTGAGGCACCGCGCAGATCTGAGCGGGACCTCGCCGTCCCTGAGGGGCTGCGATCTGCGAAGCTGTCGCCACTTTCGAGGGCTGCTGGTGGGTCCTGCGGAGTGAGGCACCGCGCAGATCTGAGCGGGACCTCGCCGTGCCTGGGGGGCTGCGATCTGGGAAACTGTCGCCACTTTCGAGGGCTGCTGGTGCGTCCTGCGGAGTGAGGCGCCGCGCAGATCTGAGCGGGGCCTCGCCGTCCTTGGGCGGCTGCGATCTGCGAAACCGTCGCACCTTTCGAAGGCTGGTGGCGGGTTCAGCGGAGCGAAGCACCAGGCAGATCTGAGCGAGACATCGCAATCCTTGGGGGGCTGCGAGCCTCACGAATGCCGCTCGCAGAAGTATACGCGCCCATGTCACGCCATCACCTCCGTCGAACGTCTCCCAAGCTACTCATGCCCCTCATTGCGCAGGGGTTGGGTACGTCGCCAGGGTAATGTTTGACATTTGTTTGAACATGTTTTGAGTATTTCTTATCTTTCGCGACAATCACCCTGTAGGGGGACACGCCCGACTGAATACCAGCTGCATGTTTTTCCCGCGAGCGACGGCCCAGCGCCCCGTGGGGCCGGAGCGAGTCCTGGTCCCCCGGGGCCCTGTCCCGTGGCCCCTCGGGCAGAGGAGAGCCTGAGCTACGTGTTCGACGCCGTGTTCTGGACGCGGCAGCAGAGCGGCAACGAGATCCCCGTGATCGGCTTCGCAGGAGACCTCCCGGCGTGTCGGTGCACTCGGCGTGGCCAGGCGTCGGGCAGGGTTGGCGCCTGCAGGGCCCACTTCGGCTCGATCCGAGCCGACGTCGAGTTCACCTGGCTCGATCCGAGTCTCGGTCTCGCGCCGCGCCGCCGACCGCTTGGGGGTCTGGGTTGCGGGTTTGACGCCGTTCGGATGGCTGATGGGGGTCGCGTGGGAGGCGCGTCGGGAGCGTCATGGAGGCAGTTTCTTGAACCTTTTGGGGGCCTCCTGGCGGCGTCTGGGGGCTCTTTTGGGGCCCTTTTGGTGCTCTCTGGGGGCCTCTTGGAAGCTTTTTGGAGACTCTTGGGGGCATCTTGGGGACATGAGCTCGAAATGTCCGTTCGGCCTCCCCTTGGGGCCGTCCTCGGGGCCGTCCTCGGCCGTCTCGAAGGCTTCTGGGGCCGTCTTGGGGCCCTCGTGTGCCGTCTTGGGGCCCTCTTGGGGGCCTCTCGGCCCGTCTTGGGTCGATCTTGAAGGTCGCTTTGACGTGGATGGGGCTCGTGAGAGCACAAGAGGCGAATGTGCAACACATGAGGTGTTCCTGAGGGAATGGGGCGATGCTTGCTCCTTGAAGGCCTCTTGGATCGCCCCGTGGCGACTTCTTGGAGCGTCTTGGGGGCCTCTCGGGCCGTCTGGGGCCAATCTTGGGCGTCTTGGCGCGATCTTTCGGCGACTCGTGTCCCTCTTGGACCTTCCGGGGACCCTCTTCGGGCCCTCTTGGCCCGTTTCGGGGCCCCCTGTACCCAATGGCGCGTTCGGGCGGTCCCCGGGGGGACCCCGCCCCCCCAAATCGAATGGACAGGACGAGGGGTCGGCGGATTCGGTTGCGATCTCCCAGCGATCCGATGCGCCCCGATGCCTGCACAGCGCAGCGGCGTATCGTGGCACAGCCGGTCCCCTTCGATTGCAACTCCGAGCCGATTCGGCCCGATCCGATGCTCGCTCCGACCTGACCAGATCCTGCGGTGCGGTGGCGGCCGATCCTGGCGGGGGTGGTGTCCCGGGCGCGCCCCACGGGAGCACGGCAGGCAGGCGGAGGGGGCCGCAGCCTGGGCTCGGCGGCAGGGCCTGCAGGTCGGGCCTCTCGGCCTCGGGCCGGGGCGCCCCGGTGCGGTGCCTGCCGGCCCAGCACGCCCCCGGGGCAGGGTGGCAGGCGGCGCAGCCGAGGCTGAGCTCCGCCGCCGGCGCGCGGCCACGTCCGCTGCCGCGGGGGGCGCGTCCCGGGGTCCCGATGAGTGGCGGGGATGCACAGCTGCCCGTCCGCGCGGGCAGCCTGGCGGAGGTGTCTGCGCCCGCGGGTCCCCGAGATCCCCGGGACGTGCCCTCGCGGCAGAGTGCTCGGTCTCCGTCTGGACTTACTCCGTCTGGACCCCTGTGGAGGATCCTGGCAGTCTTTGGAGGCCTCGTGGAGGACTCTGGAGGTCTCCCCCTCCTCCTCCTCCTCCTCCTCCTCCTCCTCCTCCTCCTCCTCCTCGTCCTCCTCCTCCGGGAACAGGGAGACGTCCTGGCGAGCGGGAACGCAGGGAGGGGAAAACAACAAGGAGGGGGGCCCATTGTTCCCCTCCTCCCACTTTTCGTCCTCCTCCTCCTCCTCCTGCTCCTCCTCCTCCTCCTGGCGGCGCAAGGGCGGTTCATGCTGCGGTGCGTCCTTTCTTTGTTGGTCTGGGCCGGCCCGCTGGGTTCGGAGTGCAGCACCTCTCGGCAGCCTCAGGAGGTCACTCCGGGGCGGGTTGGGGGGGAGCTGCCATTCTCGAGCCGACGTGCCAATGAGCGCACTCAGGGGCCACAATAGGGGTGTGAAGTGAGAGCAGTCGCGATGCGAGTCGAAACGAACTACGAGCGCTTACGAGCGAGCATCTCGGCCTTGCTTAAAGCCTTCGGCCATCGATCGGATTCGATCCGATTTAGATACTCAGCTCGATTCGCATTCGTTCGCCTGAGACATTCCTGACCCAGGCTCCTGAGGACACAACTGGCATAATGCCCGCACTGTGAGCATAATCAGAGTCCCATGGACTGGTGCACAAGCATTCTGTGGCTACTGTGTACCCAGCCCCCCCTACATGTAATTTAACTCCCGACGGCAACGCATAGAGCCTACCATCGACAGGAACGGGTCTAAAACACTGGGTGGAAATCCACTGGGCTTTGGCAGCCTGGGAAGCAGAGCTACAACACATTTTACAGCGCCTTCCAAATCATCGAGGACGTGACTGGTCGCAAACTGCCTGCACACAGATGGGGCAGGGGGAGGCGGTGGCTCACACGCCGCCTCTCTTTTTAGCGGTCTACCTTTTTGCACCAGTTCGCTCTCGGTCTCCACGGCATCAAGTGTAGCTCTGATCAGTCTCAACCTTATCTGATACACTTCTTTCTCGAGCGTGTGCGCACGACATCTCTCGGTCTCGGCAAGCCTGACTCGACGTGCCGCACCTGCTGCCATTTCGTCAACTGCCGCGTTGCCAACACCC